TTTGGACCAACGGGTCAACTTAATAAAACTTCAGTCTTCATGAACTGTTTATCAGCGAAAAATTCCTTTGAGGAGGATATTCTCAAATTATTTGATCATGAATTTTCTGAAAATAAGTACTCTGAAAAGGTTACCATGTCCCTATGTGATAAGACCATTATGGAGATTACTGACAAACAAACAGTATTGCTCGATGGACATTATCAAGTGCTGATACCCTAGAAAGTGGATTGGCACTCACTTCCAAGGAATAAGCGCGAAATAGAAAAACGATTAATTTACCTACGTAAAAGGTTGCTAAAAGACGAACAGCTTCGGAAACAGTACACTATTATATTAGCTACCCACGAAAGTAAAGGATATTTGTCTCGAGTAACACAAGCTATCGAAGAGGAAAGGTATTTTATTCCACATCATCCTGTATTTAACCCTAAAAAACCAGGTAAAGTTCGGATAGTCTTTGATTGTGCTGCTAAGTTACAAAACAGGTCTCTAAATGATTGTATACATTCTGGACCAGATCTTACAAACGACCTAGTGGGAGTTTTGCTTAGATTCAGAAAGCATAAGATTGGATTGTCAGCAGACATTGAAGAAATGTTCCTCCAGGTACATCTACCTGAAAAGGATACAAAGGCCTTCAGCTTTTTATGGTATCCCGATGGTAATCTTGACTCTCCTCCTGAGGTCTATGAGTTGCATGTACACCCTTTCGGGGCTACGTCCTCACCGTTTTGCGCTACCTATGCTTTAAGACGTACAGCTACAGACCACCGAGATTTGTTCGATGAAAAAACACAGTCCACCTTACGAGAAAATTTTTATGTAGACGATTGTCTAGTCTCAGTAGAAACAATATCAGAAGCTGCTGAGTTAGCAAAGAACCTAATGAGACTCGTGGCACCTGGAGGCTTTCGTTTACATAAATGGGTTAATAACGTAAATGAAGCGCTGAATGACGTCCCTATAGGCGATAGATCAAACAATTTGGTTCGTATACCAGGTTCAACAGAACGCATACAGAGAACTTTAGGACTTTGTTGGCACACGCAATCCGATTGTTTTGCATTCGACGTAAATCTCCCCGAACGCCCGATCACTAAGAGAGGCATTCGATCATGTGCATCATCGTAATATGATCCGCTTGGATTTCTAGCGCCTTCATCACTTACCTCTAAACGAATTCTGCAACAGCTATGTCGTAAAACTATGGGTGGGATGAGATGACAGATGAGGAGTCACGATTGAGTGGGAAAGTTGGTTAGAAGCAGTTGCAGGTGTCAGAGATCTAAGGATACCACGATGTCTCAATATTGGATCGTACAATAAAGGGCAGATTTCTTTACATCTGTATTCAGATGCTTCAGAAAGCGGTTATGGAGCCGTAGCCTATATGAGAGTACAATATGATACAAGTATAACGAGATGTAGCTTCATCGTGGGCAAATGTAGAATAGCACACCTAAAATTTGTCAGTGTTCCTCGCCTTCAACTACAAGCCGCAGTACTGTCGGTGAAGTTGATGAGGCAAATAGTAGAAGAAATAAAGCTGAACGACCTGACTGAAATCTACTTCTGGACTGATTCTATGATAGTATTAAACTACATCCTTAATACAACGTCACGTTTCAAGACATATGTAGCTAATAGAATTAACTTCATCCACGAGCGAACTAGGCCATCTCAATGGAAGTATGTACCATCATCTATTAATCCTCCTGATCTAGCTTCTAGAGGAATACGTAAGTACGACCCCAACTGTATTGAAGCTTGGCTTTCAGGTCCCGAGTTCCTAACGACTGAGAAGGATAAATGGCTTGAGTATAGACGAGAAGTAATATTAAAACTCCCAGTCGAGCTAGAGTTAAAGAACGCCACAACCTTAGACACCATGACTACAGTTTTTCCCCTTGATAAATTTATATCCTATTTTTCGTCATGGATTAAACTCAAACAAGGCACAGCTTGGCTCATCAGATTCAAACGTTACCTCTACAATAAAACGGTCGTAAGGGGACCCCTTACGCTTAACGAATTGGATAATGCCGAAGGAGACTTATTAAAATACGTACAAGAGCAAGAATTAGCGGAAATTAGACAATGGATTAAACGACACAAGCATTCTGATAACAATCTGTCCAAAAATCATGTTATTAATAAACTACGTCCAATCGTGGTTGACAACCTGATTCGCGTAGGACGTTTGAACCGTAGTGACCTCCCGTTAGAGCAGAAACATCCAATTATTTTACCTAGCAAACACCCTATAACGGAGCTTATCATTCGTTACTACCACCAAGCTGAGGGACACATGGAGGTGTACTACACACTAGCCGCCTTGCGCAAAAGGTTTTGGATATTAAAGGGCACTACCGCAGTAAAGAGGATCGTACATAAATGTATAAGCTGTCGCATTAGATCAGCCAGGCCGATGTCACAACTGATGGGAGACTTACCATCTACACGGATAACACCAGACTTCCCGTTCGCGACGACAGGAGTAGACTATTTCGGCCCGATCATGATCAAAGAGGGACGCAAAACTCGAAAGTGTTACGGTTGCCTATTTACATGTTTCAACACCCGGGCAGTTCACATAGAAGTTGCTTGCGCATTATCAATCGATTCTTTTCTAATGGCGTTGTCTCGCTTCTCAAATCGCAGGGGGGCGCCGAAGAAGATATATAGTGATAGAGGAACCACGTTCGTTGGATTAGAGAAGGAGATACAACTTCTATTACCAGACTTTAAGGATAATAGAGTAGCTAAGGAAATGATTCGTCGGAATATAGAGTGGTATTATAACATCCCTTACGCAAGTCATCGTGGAGGGATATGGGAAAGATTAATAAGGAGCATACGTAGGATTTTGAGTGCTGTATCTGGCGAGCAAACTATGTCCTACGAGACACTCACCACTTATTTAACCGAAGTAGAAAGAATACTTAACGATAGACCTTTAGTTCCAGTTTACGACGACCCAGAACAACGTGAGACATTGTCACCTAATAATCTACTTTTATTAAGAAAACCTAACCTTCATCAGATTGAAATAAGCCTACGTGAGAGTTATTCCCGACAATGGCGACAAGCGCAGCTGTTGGCAACCACATTTTGGCGTCGTTGGATAAAGGAGTATTCACCACTTTTACAGACACGAACAAAGTGGATACAAAAGAGACGAGATCTACATGTTGGCGACCTAGTTTTGGTTATTGGAGACTCATATGCACGAAAAAACTGGCCTAAAGGCCTAGTGGTAAGTATCGATCCAGGAGAAGATGGGCTAGTGAGACAAGCAAAGATCAGAACGTCGAAGGGCATAATTATTAGAGATATACGTAAAATTTGTTTATTAGAAGGAGCGGATGACTGAACATTAGAAGATAGAGATACCCTTCAGAGTGACTGTGGCAAGAATAAATTGTACCATTGTCACCTCTGAATTTTTTTACCTTAGTACCCAATCAGTGAAAGTAAGGAAAGACATGCTGTCTTTGGGGGGGGCGGTGTTAAGTATGTTTTACATTGCTTCTGCTCATTCCTTTTCCACTCTTTTGTATGTTGGTTTATACTACTTATTTATATTCAGTAAGCAGTTGTATGCCCAACAATTTTCACAATTATGTTGTAACTCAAGTTGTACTGTAACATTCTGGCATGTTCACCTATATCTTTAACGTTTATTTTACTTATAATTGTATTTATCATTATAATCACTGTAATTTAATTACTGTAACGGTTATCCACATTTTTATGCATTTGTTTGAATGCAACAGTTTCCATATTGTTTGCTCTTGGTTCGAGTTTCGGTTGTTGTTCATAAACTGTTACCAAATTTAGACACAGCTATCGGCTGTCTTTGGACTATCGTATGTTGTAATCATTCTTTATGTTACTCTTACAGGAAGCCTTTGCTATTTTCATTCTTGAACGACGCGTTTAAACGCCTAGACACCTCACAAGTTGAGGTTTGTAACTAAATTTTGTGTATTATTTAATAAAGAACCGCTTTTGTAGACAAATCGTTGTTTTGAGACTTCGATTTTGCGCGTATCTCAATCGGGGTTACTTGGACGCTTCGATAGAATTAACAATGAGTTACCAGAAATTACCCAAAATACTCAATTAACTTGATTCTTCTCTGTAGTAAATCTTACTCATTTTGTTATAATATTCCTGACTATCTGAATATGACACCTGTAACATGATTGTTTTCAAAATTACACATACACCTTGGTGAGAACTGCCATCCAGCACAATTCCTGGGCTTATAGGTTTTTACTGAATTATTTTAACCATCAAATATCAAAAGAAAGTTCCCTCGAATTTCATGTAACCTAAACTAGTAGTCACATTACAGCTCAATTAGTATAAATACATCATCGCTATTACTTACGCCTGTTACTCCCAATGGAACATAGGCCGCCGGCTAGCATTCTCGTTTCTAGTTCTATCCAATTTTTGTTCATTTTTCTCATGTCTGTCTCCATTTCTTGACGTAATGTGTTCTTTGGTCACATTACGCCGAGAAACCATCATCATCGCTATAAAGAATAGATAATATAACACTATTCAATATTCAGTGATTAATTAGTTCACAGTTATGAGGACGGCACACTGGTGAACTCAAAGAAGTTCTAAAAAGCTGAAGACATTCCGCCCATTCATCTCTTGGAAGAATATTCCAGAATCTCGACGTGTGGCTTCCCTGTTAGAAACCACTGTATGCGAATTGGATGACTATAATGATGGTTTCGCTTTTACTAAAAAATATAAATACCTGAGAGTTTTGTACCATATTTGACACTGTTGGAATAACTTTTCTTCTCACTCTTCTTATGTCTTCTCATTTTGCCACTCGCAGGGTTCTAGCATTCGAGTGCTCAAGTTGTACACGGTGTATGAAGAATCTAAGCTCTAGATATAATAATGGTTTTATTGTATTCCTGGTTTGTTTTGTTTATACCTACTTTTTCCGCATTTTTATTTATATCTAGGATTTGATAAATGGTCCGGTCAAAAAAATATTCTGCATCCCAATGATGAAAATGTTCAGAATATGAATACTTCTGATAATTGCAATTATTATTTTTCTGTACCACAAGAAGAATTTCGTAGAGCTCATAGTGAAATTTGTTCTGTGTTCGAAAATTTCACACGTCAGATTCTAATTGGAAAGAAAAAAACAAAGTCGAAGTTGTCTAAAATTGACAAAAATCAACTTATGTTAGATGAAGCATTCAAGGGTTTAAGTATATCAACTAAAAAAGTAAATAAGAATGAGTCAGAAAAAGAGAAAAGTCCTAATATTTTGACTTCGCTTACTAAACTCACTAAGCATCCAGTGTGGGAGTCAGACAATTCAAGCATTGATGAAAATGAATATGTGTAAGTTCAGAGGGTTTTCTATATGTTATTTAGGAATAAATTCATTTTTTCACATTAGAAAAACATATGTATTAGTATACATGTATATTTATTGAAAAAATGTGTTGTGTATCCACCGTATTGTTGAGCTATAATCCGTTCTACTTAACAACTGTCAAGTTAAAACATTAATCATAGAGAATAAGAGGTTTCTTCAGTTTGGTTATCGATCCCTCCTTTGTGTTCTGTGATTAAATTAATCAGTGCACATTTTTGATGAGTGATGACAAATCAACCGACAAATTTATTGATATGTATCTCATAAAATGACAATGAATGATGTTTGAAGTGCTGAACCCTGACTGGGATTGATACTGATTGTGAGACTGGCACATAAAACTCAATAACGAGAGATAGACTTCTCAGCTAGCATTTGTGCAATATTGGGAATTACTTATCAAAGAATAAATACCGTGAACCACACTTTGAGCGATACTATATCTATTTGATTATAACTATTTCAAATTGTTTCACAAGTCACACATAGAAGAAATATGACTTAACATGAATGTGTTATTAATACGAGATGCCACACTTCATATCACCACAGCGATCGAAGAAGTGAAGATGAAAAGTAGGGAAAGAGGAACAGTGCTATCCATGTCACTGGAAAGTAAAACATCACGAAATAACACTATGATCAGGATTCGTAGAATAACATATCACTGTGACTGAATGGTATCATATCACTCGTCTTTCACTATCTCCTCATTTTGTTAAAACTGGTAGAAAATAATTCGATTTCGTCCAATGTATTGCTTTTCTACTATTACTCATGTTCCTGTTCAGCTAGTTTTGTAAACGTGTTTATATTCAGAATGTTAAATTATCGCTTAAAACACCACTGACTATTAGCCTAATTATCCATAACCTGTACCAGTACCACTTTGGACCCTCTACCTTTTAACTTAGTCATCTGACGTGAAAATTCGGAACTACCTGTTGTAGTATAGCCTGAAATGAATGTATGAATTATGAAGTGATGGCTTAGTGACTAAGATATTAGACGTTTAACTATTATGTTACATATTCGAACCCATATTCCATCTACTTTAGCTTGAACATCTCAGAAGTATCACTAGTCTTAAAACGTAAAGTGTAGCTTAAAGCCCAAGTATACGGATCTGTACCTAGCTGATGATTTAACCAGTCAGTCAGTCAAACGCAACGTAGAACTCGACATATCGGTTCAAGTTTTCGTACCTCATTAGTATATCGAAATGAAATTGTTAGGGCGAATCCCAGAATCACAGAGGTAGTAACAGTATTAGTGGTAGTAGAAGCGACCAGGAATAGAAGTTACGATTGAAGAAAATATGAATTAGTGAAATAAAAGGGTTTTCGTAAAGAATTTAGAAATGTAAAATCTAAGGAATGACGAAAAGTGTATGCACCTTCACCATTTGTAACGATTTTGAGCCATTTCATATAAAGTCTCTAACTAGCAGTTATAATGATCAGCGGACCTCAACCAGGTAGTGTACACTTACCTACGTAACTTAGCCGATTATTCGGTGTCTACATGGACCAATACTACATCTTGGTTTGGCTGATCCTACCTTTCTTTCAACTTGCTCCTTTACCAGTCGTCATTGCTCGTCAAAGTAATCGGCAGATAAGCATACGTAATACATGCACGAACCATCTCACTCGATAATGATTTAATATCTTGTTATTCAATTCCCATCCTTATTTAGTACTCTGCATCTTACCTCAGATTTGCTAACGCAATGGTCCCAAAATACACGAATAATACTCCATGATATTAATACACCTATGATCGAAGGCTAGTAACCTACTAGCATTTATTTTTATGGGCCACGTGCAAGTTAGCCTTTGCTGTTTTTAATTCATTCCTTTCAGTTGTATTAATTACTTTTCATATTTTTTTTCTCCCAAATATTCTGTATGTTTGCTGCTACTAGTGATTACAATAATGATGTAAACAGAAATCACAAAGATATGTTGCCTGAATCCATCATTTCCGAAATGAATATTGGTTATAATAGTGATATTGAAGTGTACAATCACACTGGTCGCGAATCGCCACCACCGTCTCTCTCCGCTGGATGCACATTTTCATCTCCTTTGAGTAGTGAATTGAAATCTACATTTTCTAATTTGACCAAACGCTCATCTTCATTGTCTAATTTATTTAATAATCCACGTTTACAATTGCAAACTTCTCTTCTATCCAATTCTTTTGTATCTGAAAGGAAAATCTCACATTCCAATCTTTTATCACCATCAATCTTCTCTAGTTGTTCTTCTTCTTGTTCAACTGACAAAGAAGATGATATAATTACTGGTCATAGTATTTCACGAATAAATGAAAAATTCCGTACACCTAAAACATTAAAAGATCCGTTAGGTGTTGTAAATTATTTTTAATGAATAAATCGTTCTCACTAAACTATTTTATTAAAATAGTATTACTTTTTTTTATCCACATTTTTGCCTTATTCCATGCTTGTTTTTATATGCATTACCATACAACCAGGAAATTTTGTTAACTTTTTTAATTCTTATGAATTTTTCTTCTCTCCAAATAGCCTTTCTTGTATTGTTGTCTTTATTTTTTTACCCTGTTGTAAATACAATTTATTGTTGTTTTGTAGAACCTGTTTCTATGAGATGTTTTCAAAATTTATTTAAATGAAACAGATTTTATTTTCTATAGAAATATGCTGTCACGAATGTTGATGAAAGAATGCGTCTGTGTTTCTAGTTATTCGTATTATTTTAACTTCGGTGTATTTTAAGGAATACAGCTACTAGATAATTACCATAACACATAAATGACACCCTTCTTTGCTTATCAGGAAAAGGTATTCACTTCTTTATCAGAGCTTTGACAAATTAAACGGTAAAATTTTAAAGTTTGTATGGTTCGAGAGTATCCATATTTTCCGATATTAGTTTCTCAGCTGCATAACCAAACTTGTTTTAGAATCCTCTGGTTACTTAAAATTGTTTTGGGCTGGAGTAATGTCTTTCCGGACAAGAGAAATGTCATTAATAAACTGTTTTTTGGACCACTTTCCTTTGTTTTTACTTGTTTAGTGTGAGAAAACGTGGTGGGTTGTGGATTTCGTTTCTTTTCATCAATGAACATTACGTTAAATACCAACTCAGTGATATTAAAACCTGACTGAATTTGTCTTATTTCCTTTGATTGACGACAAAACGATTTACCATCACACCAAATAGTTCATGTACAAGGACCTAGCATCTTTAGATCGTTTAGACATATCAACGGTACACTCAAATCAATAAAACACAATACCACTATTTTATTTTAACAAAGATCCCATAGTATTCACTATAGGATACTATTTTGCCTTGACTATAAACGTTATAGATATATAACTATGCTTCAACAATGGTTTCATGTCTGCTTATATTCTACATATAGATAATGACTTCTGCAACTGGCAGTTATTGGTTTCAGCGAATTATCACTTTGAAAAAGAAGTCACGTGGATGTCATTATGTTACGGATGAGATTAGAAAAGCTTTGCCAGAAATCGGACAAGTACAAATGGGTATTTTACATCTTTTTAGTAAGTACACTTTAACATAGCTTATAAAATTGTATACTAAACGGAAGCGCTTCATCCCTTTTTCGGTATTTTCGCCGACCATTTATACGGAATCCCTAAATACTTGTCACTATACATTTGTAGGTCGTTAGGTTCTAGTTCTCAAGTGTCCTGACGACTTCAAACACTCACTTTTTCGTAAGAGTGTAAGCTGAGGATTCGAAAGTTTATTAATAGGAATATGGTTAAGATACTGGCTGTAGGTAACACCACCTGGTTGGGGTCCATGCGACTATCGTAACCAATGTTTGGAGACTTTAGATGACATGGCTTAGAATCGATCACAATGGTCTACGTGTACACACTCTTTGTCTTCCCATAAACTGAGATTGAAATTACTTTATATATTTATTTCTCCCCGTATTATATCCTTATATGCAATCCTTCTTTTATATATTACTGCCATTGAGGTAGCTACTTTTATGAATTTAGCGTTCATCTTATTGTGCTAATGAGGTATGGCAACGTGGACCGATGCATATGTGTGCCTGGTCCTACGTTGTAAATTACTGTTGACTTAGAACACCCATATAATATTACCCTGTTTGTCGAAAACTCTGATAGGATGTAGTCTTCTAGTCTTGTGCATGTCTGGATTACGTTTCTCACCCTCTAAATGCAAAATGTTTCAAAACCGCCTTACATTATATTCTAGAGTGTGATAGGGAATGTAGTGGTTAAGCGTGTCGACTACTTATCTTGGAATTCTCGTCAGCCCTGGCGTGTTGGTGATTGATAAAATCTCGGCACGGATCAAGAAGTTTATCTTGGGTTTGTCAACTCGCATCACCTTTGTGGTGAGCCAGAAAATCGTCCTCTAATCAAAGAACGAGTATGCTGTGCAGCAGTCTGCTCAATTTTACTTTACAGCTTTGAAGTGTAGTCGGTAAAAGTATAGGTCATTCAAAAGTTACTGATATTTGATAATCGGCACTTTGAAGTTAAATGTATAATACTAGACAAATATGGCAAATTAGTTTATCAGGCTGTGATTGCTTCATGACTGATATGATTGGGAAATGTGTTACACACGATAAATACTTAACACTAAATACCACGATGCACAACACTGATCGGAAAAGGAGTGGGTTAGCCGGAAGCTAGAGGCATCTAAACTAAGATGTGAAATCGATCCGCAATGTTATTTGACTGTTGGTTTATTCAAACTTCGAATAATAATAATCGGTGGCTTGAGGTGGGTGACATGTTGATGAATCGGTTACTCGGTTATTCGTTCGCTACTAATCTTCCTCTAGCTCACGAGTTTCTAAATTATTCTACACTTTTTGTTCAGCAAATTCCTTCTTACTGAATCATATTCTCTGTTTTAAATATTGTTTATCATAACTGGTGCTTCAGCTCCGATATTTATTTTCGCACTGTCATCTCACTGTTGTGTAGCAACTCATATTTATACACAAGTGTCATGTTCTTACGTTTACTTATGATTATCTGCCTAAAATCAAACCTTCTGAATACTGAAGTTTGTGCATAGCTATATTATTCAGTTGATCAAAATGTGTGAACTTGCTAGAAAGCTGGATATGTGGTTTTTCGTTGTACTGTCAAATAATTCACTTGTTAATTTGTTAATATTATTCTCCTTTATCTACTATTTTGGTGTTTTAATGGAGACATTTTTAGACAGATATCCATAGTCTTTACAAAAAACGGAAACTTTAGTTTATACAATTTAGGGCGATTTAGTTAACACACTAAATCAACTTCCCTTTGCATTAGATTTAATCCCTGGCAATTCCTTACCATTAGCGAGAACTTCCACACATGTTTTGAACAATTGTAATGGAAGTGGAAACCATATAATGAGCATTTTGAACGAGATAAGATCAATATTCCCACATGTTTATAAAAATGTCTTTAGGATCTCTGTTCGCGTACTTATTGGACAGATAATGTATTTTAAAACTTGTTTTGTCAATCTTGAATGAGAAATTACTTCATTAAATCTTTAAGCCACCACTTTTGAGATTTAAAACTTTCAGTCTGTACGTCCTCTTTATAAATTCTTTTTATTATCGTTCTGATTTTCGGCTTTCACTGTTTTTATCTTTTTTTCTTATTTCTGACAGTTCAGCATACATCAGCTACTCTAACAATTAATGAAGTACGTTCATGTGATATTATAGGGTATAGTTAAGTATTCAAATATATTATCTACTACCGTTATATTGTTATTTGATCTGGAATTAGATTTTATCACTTACCGATGATGTTTATGAAGACAATGAATCTTCACGATTAAGTTATCTAGCTCAGAAACAAAACATCTCATAAATCCTCTTCCTAAACTGCAAATATTCCCCCTTCATCTCATTGACATAATTCTTCACTGAATAATGGAAGAAATCCTCCATTTGTTCATCTCACACTCAACTGTATGAATTCACTAGATACCAGAAATATAATCTCAAATGAACAAACGAGACTGAAGAATAGAGAGTTGCGAATGATGCTTAACCCACAATTTTTAAAGGAAAATGGAGAATGAACACAAGTGCAACCAGTTTTTCACCCTATCACTGAATGTCTACAACAGTTGATTATGAGTCTTTTGCGACCTCCAGTTGGCAAGCCTTCACTTGTCAACATGTCTCATATCATCAGTCAGTAAATTCATGGAATGATTATATGTATTGATCTTCCCATCTCTAGCTTTTTTTACAACTTTTCCACTACATGTCAGCGTAAACGGTTGTTGCATGTGCAACGCATCATGTACTTGTCCTTATATGCAATCTTTCTTTTATATATTATCACCACTGAATTAACTACTTCTATGAATCCGGTGTTCATCTTGTTGTGCTAATGAAGTATGGCAACTTGAATCGATACACATATGTGCCTGGTCCTACTTGTAGCTGACTGACTACATCATGTACTAAGCATCTCACTATATGGAGATATATGACCTCCCTCTCTTCAATACTCTATAGTGAGAGTAATAAGGAAAAAACTGCTGTTCAATAAATCTTTCCCAACATGAATATCTGGCGTAATTTGGCAAAAACCAAAAGAACATTTTGCACCCGTGCTTGGATTTTGTCAGTCTCATATAATTTCGAAATCGGAAAACAGGAGCATTATACTATATTGATTACTGTCTTATTTACGATACCACTTACCTCTGAGTTGAAAATACATAGTCAGTTCAATACCGATAGGCAATGAGTCCTGTCAAGATGCATGTAGATGTTTCGAAGATTACTTACGCATATTTATTTGTCACTCTTATTTTCTGTACTGCAGAAAATCGGTCATGAAAAATAAGGTCTCGCTCTGTTCACTCAGTCTTCTTGATAAACCAGTGTTTAAATGTATCCAGTTATTCCTGAGTATTTTGATGTTTAAAAAAGTTGCGAACAAGATTAGAGGTGTTTATGATATTATCATATTTATATTACCCCTAACATTTTTTATTATCTTTTTCTTTAACTAACAGAGTTGGGATCCATCTGTTACGTAAGTTTCACTCGACCTTTTTTCAGGTATTCATAATGAGGGTTGTGGTAACTCATTTACAATTGGATTGTAGCGGGAATTAATATGACGGAATTATACAAATCATTGCTTGACCTTATCTGATATTCACGTACTTAATTATGAGATTATTGGTTATATTGTATTCATTCATTTACTAATAATCCCAACCTTTCACTTATGTGCATTTTTATATGTGAATTCTTGTTTATCTCTATTCACCAAGGTTATTCTTTGTCTATTTTCATAAATAAGCTTAGATATAAATTTATTTAATAAAGTTGGCGTAAGCCTATTTTCAAGCTTCATCTATTCATTCTTACCATCTGTCCGTTTGCATTCGGGTGCCTCAAATTTTTCTAGCACATTTCGAATTTGGCTTGTCTTACCACCATTTCACAATGTGGTTAGATTAAGTGTAATATACGAAATTGATAAGAGATTTATGCTTCATTATCGTCTTCATTCTTGAGGTTGATAATGGACACCAAAGGTTTTACTTCTATTGCGCATTCTCAAACTTTATTATTTATTTATTTGAACACATAAATATTGGTACAAGGTGGCACATCGGCGATGACTGTGCCGAAAGTTAGTGCTATCCGGAAACAGGTCGTGGTCTGTGCAGAGTTGCAGTAGACGGTCCCCGTTATCTGACCTGCGACCAACGAGTCCCCATCGGCCACCTAAACGACTCTCTTCTGTGCCTAGACGCCCGACCTGAGCATTCAAGTCTCCGGCTAGTACTACAATATCTGTCGAGCGCACTTTCTGGAGAAGAACAGATAACTGGTGGTAAAACTCATCCTTGATTGCATCCGGGCTGTAATCTGTTGGGGCATAGGCAGAGATGACGAAAAGACATCGTTTCTCACGCCGATTTCTTCTCACTTTGATGGAACTTTCTAATCTAACAGCACATAGCCGACTGTTAATGGGGATCCAATCAACTAGTGCTGCCTCAGCTCTAGCGCTTAGTGCGACACTAACGCCAGCAAGATCAAACGAAGATGCCACAGGGTCCCCGGATAAGCGCACGTAAAACAAGCTTTTCGAAGCGACAGATGGAGATCGAATTTGTAGTACTTCGCCAGAGTCTTGAATACGGGTCTCGGATAGACAACAAACATCAATATTAAGACTTTCCAAAGACATAGCCAGCCCTATCTGTTGTCCGACCTGCACTAGTGTGCGAACGTTGAAGGCAGCCAGTTTGAATGGTGCACGTGGTTTCAGAAAAACTGCTTCAGTTCTCGTAATCGGTGGTAACATACAATTTTCAACCGGACAGTGACTCCAGAACGTTTAAATAGAACCGAGTTTCCACCATGGGCGAGATGCTGTATAAGTCGAAAAATAATCATAATCATAACAATAATAGTAATAATAATAATAATGTGAATCGTTTGACTGCTAATCGAAGCAAAACAAGTATTTTCCATACATATCGACATTTCATCATATTTGTGTGTGTGTTGTGATACTGCCCGGGTGCCCAGACCGAAGCAGGTGGTTTTCTTAGGGGGCCATACCCCGAGCCTTTGACCTAAACGTTTAACCCACAAGGCAGCGGAGCATCGTGAGATGCAGTCCCATGGCAACCGGTGACCAAGAAATTAGTTCATACGCCATTTGTTTTCACAGGACACTGGAGCCCATGTGCATCATTGGTTTGGGATCCGGTTAAAGCGCCGGACATTCGCTTTTCTTCCCCTCATTTTCGTAAACAACACCCTCGCCACTAGAAGGCAGTGAGTGGAACTTCCATGGCAGAGGCTGTATACGCGTGGCCACGTGAGAGCACTTCGAGAGGGCGGGCGGACGCATCCTACTCTTGGCCATACCAGGGTATTTGATTTCTGGATATTAACAAATCGAAAATGGGACTAACTGTAATAAACAGAGATCTAAGTTTACGATAAAGTATATTTTGTGTAGGTTATATACTTTGTTAGATGTAAAGAATTCTTTGCTCCAACTAAAGTTCTTGATGTCTTTAATTGCGTAGAATATAAAAAGCTGGATTATACTAGACGATTTCTGTTGGTATTATATTCAGACTTAAATGTTTATTTTAAAGATGAAAACTAAGGAACATGACTTTTTTATGTAAAATAAATGCTAGTGGCTGATTTTTCTGTCTCATACATTGATAAACGAATGTGTCGATTTCTTTATTGACTTAGTGAAGAAATGTCAGTCATCCATTCTGTTAGGCTTGCATATGTCTGAGCACTTGAGCATTTATAACAATTATATAAAGTCATTAATATTAGTACTGCTATCCGAACTCTCAAACTGTTGTAGATATTGTGAAATTCTCATCCTTGATTCAGTAGTTTGAGATTTCAACGAATCAACCACCGCGTTGAAAACATCATGTTCACATTTTAATATTATTAAGTTTTTTTGCTTGAAAATGTTAATCCTCATTTTTATAAATTTTCGATGGTGGATTATATAAATTTATATTTAAAAAATCCACATTATTTCACTATTGATTTTTCAGAACAGATATGGAAATGGTTCTAAATCATCTTGTACCTGAGGTATGTTTCATTCTCATTGTTGATTATCATTTGCTCACCTCACCTATCGTGTATGAACATTACTGCTTAAAAATCGATTTTCCTTGGAAATATTGTTTTCCCTTTCAACTTGTGTTTAAAAATATTCGTTCCATTTTCTTTACGGACCATCAGCATTTCGTATAATAAATGTCTTATTATTGTTTCGAATGCGTTGCAAATGACTCATTTAGTTAAATATGTACAGCTCTGGACTTGTGGTGGCGTATGCAATGAATCTACTGCAACCAGGATTTATATAAATATATCATATTTGACTTGTAATCCTTCTAGTTGGTCTTGACATTGAATAAATTACACTTTGTCTCTATATAAATATTTATTTCACGGCAGGAAGATCCGGATTCCTAGAGTTTACGAAGCTATAAATAAATAAGTTGATTAAAAACTTTTTGAAATTTCAGTCATTGATTCCACTAATGTATGTGGCATTTTGATGAGCAATAGAATGAAGCGCTTTATAAAGGCAGAGTAATCGGTTACTTAAATTTTTGAATATTCAGATAAGGTGGTGTAATCTTTTGGGGATAGTTCTCACCATGAACTGACTCCAACTAGAAAATTACTTAAAATTTAGAGAGCACTGGACAACTGTGTTATATTTAATGTAACATATTGCAAATTAGATTTTTAAGTTGTGGTTAACGGTAGAATTCCGGGATGCACGTGTTGTCCCAGTACGACCATTCTCAAGTAGAACAAAACGGGTTTTCTAAATTCTGCTAATAGCCACAATCTTAAAATATAGTAAACTCTTTAACTCAGAGCAATATTTAGGGATCCATTCAGGGTGTACAGATTCCAAAGGAGATTAATCATATATAATCCAAAGTAAATATTTGCAAAACCCTCTTCCTCAGTGAACAATTGTGCATTAATTTTATTCATGTTAACATATCTATTTGTTGTTATTAAATCATAATTTTTTTTATATTTGTTGTAGTCACTTAAATACAAACATAATTGTGAAGGTGCTGATGACATGGTAGGTTCATATTCACTCCAATAACGTACAACATTTATGATTGTTCTTAATACCTCAATTTAATTCTATTGTTGCTGAAAATTGCATAACTTAAATAGATGGTTGAATTATGTTTATAGATTGCAACTTAAAATGTTGACGAAAAGTTCGTTTGAATAATTATTTTCATCGGCGTGCTTTTCGTAAATCACCTTCCACAAGTCAGTCATGTTACTATAATACACGACTGACCTACTTTTGTATCATTACCATAATGTAGGTTAGCTTCCGTTGTTGGTGAGAAATATAGAGAAAGGATAAGCTACTGATTCTTATATAACTCTCCGTTATGTTGTACAGCGTTTAGCTCTGGCGTTGAATAACATGCTCCCTATTTACGACCCCAATCGGCTAATTGAATAAGAAGAATGAAAGTGAAAATAACGTCTCTTAATAACTGCATTCATATATATATATATATATATATATATATATATATATATATATATATATATATATATATATATATATATATATTCCATACAAATTGAATCCATATCACTGGAAAGTCCCATTTCTTAGAAAAATATGCCATATCGTGTGAGCTCAGCATGTGACTAATGTCCAACTGTATCAACTTGATTATTCATTAGCTACCTAATGAATAAGTATATAAATGGTTATACTGTCTTGGATGAATTTATATCAGTTGTAATTACATTATCTTACTGATTCTGTTCTTTGTGATCTGAAGTTTGGGTACGGACTCCGAGAATAAATTGTCTGTAGGACCGCTTCAATTGCTTTATTGTTTGGTCAATCGACTGTACCGTCATAGCCCATTGTTACTAATTAGTTTTCTTGGATAAAATTCACATATTGGATTTTCTTACGATCCTTATATACGTATTACCTACTTGCTCCATGTCAAATGTATTTTTTCAACATATTTCCATTATATTTATTAATATTCACTTACTACATGTAACTTTTAGCTTAAAAATATGTATGTATGTTTTCCAATTTCAAATTCTGTTTAAGCCTGCACATGCAAAACAAGCATTACTTGGTGGACCCAGTATTACCATACCTATTACAAATGGTCAGTTAGCCTTAGGTACTTGGCAAGGAATATGGCTTTGTGAACATCGGAACTCTGGTTGTAAGTTCTTATTCGACTTTATAATCTCGTATTTATGTTTAGTTTCCGTAGCTTTAAATCACTGTTTGTCCATTATCTGTATTTCTCGGAAAAAGACGATAATCTTTTTTTCATACACGAACCCATTCGCTGAAGCATTTTATCAAAGAGGTGCGATCAAAGACCCGAATTTATTCTCTGTAGATTGACTAGCTAGATAATTTGTAGAATAGTTATTAAAGTATACTAATATAATTTGGTAACAGTTTTCTTATAAGAGTAATTAGTCATCAACCTTACTGTCTGTATAATTTTAAGCTATTCTAAGGGTGACCACACAAAGCGTATTGTTGACCAGTCATATTAACTCATTATCTCTGAATTCTAACAACCAATTATGGCGTTGTAGTAAACATTAAGTTTGAATTGGTGATCTAATATTTGGTTGTTGAACTATTGCTGTAATTCATCAAATACAATCACATCCTGTATGTTTCCATTATCTCGAGTCGATTTTCCTTTAATAACTAATGTTATTTTTTACTGTGACATAGAATTAGTACCCTTATAAACTACTAACTTTTTTCCACTTTTATCGTAGCGTCGCGTCAAGTAGTGGCCACAATACAAGGATGCCTACGATAGTACAATTGAAGTGAATACTTTTTTTCGGTCAATTATTTCTTGTCTCTGTTGTTCTATTGCTTAAATGATTGCTCGATTTCTTGGTTCTGAACTGTTTTGTACACATAACATTTGAATTGCTTCTAATGTAATTCTTCGAAGATTCATATATTTAGGTTTAATATCTTTAAAATTTCACATTATCAGTGTAAAACTTCATTTTCAGCTACCCGGTCTTTTCTCATGTTTGCTCTAATTCTCCCGTCTTTAAACTTTTTTTTCTTGTCACATATTTGTTGTTTTTTTATAACACAATATTGTATTATTGAGTGATTTCTTCAACTCAGTACTGTGTTCTGTTCTGGAAAGTATATAAAAACTACCTAAAGCTTGAAATACTTGAGTCTGATCTCTAGTGGTCCCATGCTAGAACGAAACGGCTTTCCAATTCTCTTGTTTTTAATGACTTTTGAGTTACAGTCAGTTCGTATAATAAACTTTCTTTATGTTTCGTTTTTCTGCACATTTGTTTTTTATTGTAGGTTTCGTTTGTATTAACATATGTCAGTGAATAACTAAAGAAATTTTACTAAAACCTTAATTGATTTATTGTTTGAGTTCTGAAGAAAAACAAACCATACCCGACATTTTTTGTACTGCTTAGGTATCACTAAATCTCTTGTTTTACAAAACATAACTTTTAGTCATTGTTTCCGAAATGTAGGTGCGAAGAGAGTTCAACAACCAACGGAATACATAGTATATTATATCAATCGTTCTTCGTACACATAAACAAACTGAAAATGTATAGTTGTTAACAATTAAAGATATTTTCAGTAATGTATACAGCAGAATCACTACACCCATTCAAAAGTTTACGACAATTTCACTTTAGGGCATGTGATGGCTGTATATGCATATTACAGTATTACAGTGACATTCAAAGTGTTCATAAGACTATGACTATGAATTGAACGTAAAAACTTTTATAATTTAAGAGACAGAAATTATGATATAATTTGAGCTGAAAATGAATACGACTCAACGCAGTGAGAAAAAAAACACCTAGCAAGTGCAAATTACCTTGTTCATTCAAAACAAAAGACTTCTCTAAAAAAGATACCCGTTTATTTGCAGATTCATATGTATTGTTATGGGTTAACGAAATTGATACTTATGAAGGATTACTCTGAATTAATACAAAATGACATCAAACTAAATTGATGCAATCAAAATGTTAAGCTTAAATTTATTGAAATTATGTTACATATGATACAAACTGAAATTTTATATCAATGATGTGCTATACTAAAGAAACTGGCACACTAAATAAGTTACGTGATCCCTTACTACTAGTTCATTATACAATACGATGTCAGTTAGATACTCCAAGTCAAGATAGCTTTCAGGTAGAATATCAATTCATGGAAAGTCAAACGAACTGTTCCCTAAAAAAGGATATCTATAAATCTGATGAGATTAATGGTTCATGAAAAGTCCAGTTGCTATATTATCGCTCTAGATCTAGAGGTTATACTGACCATCTAACAGCTGTGATGTGGGTAGAATTTCAAAGATTTAGAATAGGTACCCTATGAGCACACTCACAAGTGTTCTATGTAAGTGTATGTAAAAATTTAGGATTGATCTTAAATAAGGTCAGTGAGCTTCACAAAGTAATGTGTTGAATCGTTTCGTCACATTTTTATTCGATTGCATTGCATATAGGTTAACTATTGATACAAATATTTTATTGATCTCAATATAAAGATGACTGAATTGTATAAAGATTCTAATCAGATACTTGAACAACAATGAAAATAGCTCTTTTTTACTCCAAATACTTAAAAATCAAAAAAGTAATCAACTTGAAATTTCTCATATCATATACATAAGATCAACATGATCCTATTCAATAAGGATATAGTGAGTCAATTTATTAAACTGTAGCTTTCCTTCATTTCATATTTGGTAAACTGTATCATATGGAAAATTGGTTTTCGTTTTTGCCTTATAGTCGATAAAGATACAGAATAATCATTTAAACCTATCAACCAAATGATCATAACCATAATATCTATAAATAGCTCTTAAATCACGTTACCATTCATTATTTACATTTCAAGTGCACATAGGTGATTATAATTTGAATTCATCTAATGAAAGTACCTGCCTCTTATTTCTGGTTATACATTCTCTGATTTCAACTTCGGAGTTACAACATCAATAACCGAAAGTATTAACAAGTCGCATCTATTCCAGTGGGTATTATGAAGACATATTATGTAGGTTAACTTGTAGATGATACTATTTAACTAAATTAAGTTTATTATCAAAGATCGATATATTGATTTCATATATCTGGAAAAAATCACATTTATTTAAACAATAGGAAACGTTAATCTATATACCTAACTTGTATTACCATTAGAATAAAATATTTCTATATTATATAGTGATCTTATTATCAAGTTAGAAATGCCATTTTACAATGATGAAGATCTAATTATTATTGATCCTAGTTATGAAAATTTAACGAATTTTCGCAAAGATTACGATTATGATCTAATTGGTAATGCTATTAGTTTACGTGCATCATTTCTTCGGAATCCAGCTGGTTATTTACACAACATTATTGAACAGCATATGATAGAGTTATTATTTACTAGTCTAATCTGTTTCAGTATATTTCTTGGTGTGGTTGTTTTATTATTTGTACTAAAAAGGTTTATTCGTTATGTGAAATTGATCAAGTTACTTGTAAAGGAATTCAATAGTGTAAGATTACAACTAAAAGAGATTAAGAAAGAAAATTTGCCAATGAATTATGACATCTATGCAAAAGCAGTATTTACTGTATTAATAAGTTATTATCAGCTGTTCAAAGGAAGTAAAGAAAGAATTATACCTGAAGATTTGGTTGAATATGAAATAATACGTTTTGTATTAGAGGCTGCATGGAAGAATACTATAAGTTGTAGACAGCTACATAATATAGAATTGAATAGATCAACTGAAGATGAATCAATTGAAGGACTACTAGATGATTCAGAAAATGTAATAGACAAATTAAATAATGTGGTTGATCATAATCAAAATCTTAATAATTCAAGAACAGGTAAAAAATCTGATTTTAATCATATAAGAGACGATAATGTGAATTTTATGGTGAATAAAAGAACAAATAAGCAAAATGTACCAAACAAATCAATTGTAAAACCATGTTGTAAAAACAAAAACCAAATATTTATGAAAAATATCATTAGTTCCAATGATAGACATAGCATGATAAAATTGGAAAGTCTAAACAATCTTGATGAATAAAAAAGTAATGCTCAATATTTGAACGAGAAATTCAGTAATAATGAACTCCAGGGAACAACTCCAGCTGATTTCCATCATACTAATCAAATATCCTTGGATTATAATGACACGAGTGAATAAAAGAAGATAAAGAGATTTTGAGGTGAATTTTTTAAATGTGAATTCTTTCAATTATGTTCCAAGTACTGACACTTTAATTATTACACTATGCATTGTTCTTTTGTTTATAATTTACAGATATTCTATGTTTTTTAAAATTCTAAATAAACTGAATACTGAAGTTGCGTTTTCCAAAATTGTCCTTTTTACTATCATATGAACAAGAAATTCCTAGGTATATATGCAAACAGATTAAGTATACAGATGAAAACTGTGAATTAATCACGGCAATTAATCAAGTTCATTTATGTTTTGACTCCATCTCTAAACGGTATCTGAAAATTGAAAAAGGAACTAATTGTTCCGATACTTCATTTAATATCTGATACTTTTGAGCCATATCTTATAAAATAACTGGGCGGATTTGCATGCATATAGCATACAATTCACTTTGAACCTAGCACACAACAATAGCATCATGCACTGCTCCATCACCCTTGGCAGATCAGGCAACCCAAAAGTTACGAAAACACCATCAGAGCATACGACAGGCCTGGTACCCCGATATGGCTCATAATAGAAGCCAGTGGCGATCCTACTGCAAATTTCTTTTACTTTCTTCATAAAAAGTGGTTGTATATTTCTTAACTAAAAGAATTCTTCTGGTTGTACGTTTCCGTTTCCCCCATTATTATTATTACACTACCTTACACTAATCTGTGGTCGTTATTGTCCTTTTTTCCTTACCTTCTTTTTTCTCTTCCCGTTCTCATTGTTTTGTGTAGCGCATATATATTTGGTATCCCCTTGTACCAATATTCACGTGTTCAAATAAATAAACTTCATTTAATATTATCCAAAAGTGCTAACCTTATGGTATATTTGCTATTATCATCTTGAAAGATGAGAAAGAAAATATACTGTAATGCAGTGAGATAAATCCATGCGGTGAGTGGCTCCATAAATGTAATGATTTAAATGAGGTTTAACTATTTCGGTTTTAAAATTTGTAAAGTGTGAAAACCGAGGTTCAGTTGAAAAAATGTTACAGAATGAACATATAACCTTAGTTTTTAAGTCCAATGTTGTAATACAAAGCTTGATATCGATTCCAATAAACGTCATGTGTATTACTACTGCATCGTGAACTTAAAAGTTTTTCAATAGTGTAAGTGCTTGATATTTATTCCCCCATTCCACATATAATAGTAATTATTTACAAAAAGATATTGCTAAACTGTTTGCTAAAATCAAGATCAAATCACTTAATATCTGAATATACTGTAACCAACGAAGAATTGGGTAGGGTAGAACATTTTATCCCATGTTCTGACACTAAGGTTTAAAATATGACAATCGATAGGAGGAAAGTAAGCTTATTGTAAGGTTACTAAGAATTTACAAAATACGTATACATAGACTTCAATCTTCCATTTGCATTTTTAGGTGTTCTGCGTTCTGAACCGTCTTCTCGTCTGGTCTACACATGTTATCCCGAACCCGTGCTTTATATGAACTGAAACTCTTCATTTCGTCTGAAGGCTGTTGCGACTTCGATGCCACATTCCGCTACACACTACTTACAAACAATCTTGTGAGTAGTGTCCACTACAATAGGACAAAATAAAAGTTCACTAAGGGATAAAACCTATGTTCATCAGGTTAAGTATTTTAATTATACCTGCTTCTATATTCATCCAACCTATAATACAAAGTAATACATGCTAAGAAATGAAAGAATAAACTACCTGATATAGTAAAATGAAAACCCCGTTACAAAGACACTAACAAAAGTAAAGGAAGTTTCCTCTTTGAGAAGAAAGGGACCTTCATATAGAAAAGTTATGACACTTCATAAAGAAAGTTAAGAATCGCCAGAAATTACAAGGTTGATGTCCATTCTGACAACCATTAGCAGAAATAAAATAGAGATACGGAATGTCCAAATTATATAGGAGACCGGAATTATTATCTTACTGGTTCAATGAAAATTTACAACCTGGCTATATTTGAAATAACTAAAACAAGCCAAACAGAAAAGGCCAGGTGTATAAAAAATATTGTTTTATTCTGATCATGAAGAAAATGAACATACACAAGGATTGTTCGCCAAAACAGTGCAGAAAATGCTCATGGGATAGGAGACTCACAACTCCAGGATCATCAACGCACATCACAAAATGAAGAAAAAGATTACCATGAACGGCACTCAGCGCTATGCACTTATCAACAACAGTAGTGATGATGACCCAAACTAGCTTTGTGAGAATGCCAAGAGAATGGAAACGGGGATATCACATTGACAAGTTGTTATAACTTGTGACCTGTGTGCCCTGTTAATGTATAAGGTAATGATACCTCCGATTAAAGAACAGTGAATTATCGATCAGACCAATGACTCAAAAGTGTTTATCGGTCATGCTTCCCACCTAGCCCTGCCAGTTAAGTCCAGAACATCAATCTCAGCCTCTGCAATATCAATCATTTACTTCAAACATACTAGGTTTATATAAAAACCAGATAGACCACATCATACCATAAAATAGGAAACGAAATTTGTACAAGATTTAGCCAAATGTGGCTGCGAGTGTGGGAGATAGTAATTAATAGACAGGGCATAATTCAATAATGGTAAATCTTAGAATAATAGTTCATAGGTCAAAATAAAGCTCATAATAAGAGGGACATGAATATGAATAGTTTAGTTATTTAACAATTATACAATCAAAATATACGCATAGTATTGGTCTATAAATGGATCCCAAAAGTTACCATTCTCGATGCTTATCAGGACATAACATAAATAGAATAAAGATCGTAGTAAGTATGAGAACTACAGAGGAACCACACTATTGTCAGTACCAAGTACAGTTTCCAGTGGTGTCACTGAACCGAATGAATCATTCAGTAGATATATCTTCAAGTCAAACAAGCTGGCTTTCGTAGCAATTGATCATGTACAGACAAAACTGTAACGCTGTACAATCACTTAAACATAATTCATCGGCTCGTATTAAGCTCCTTGATTATGAGGAAGTATGCGACAGTGTGAATAAGAAGTACGGTAGGATTGTCGATATTATGAAATACGTAAAAAGATTTCCACCATCATGCGAAGCTTTTAGGAGGGGCACTGATGTTTGGGCAAGAAAAATAATGACCAGTTATTTACCTAGTCGGACTAGTAGATAGTCTGACGGGTACTAGATGCGCTACATATTTTCCTACCCTTATTATTATTTCTGACGCGGAAACATACTCGAGTTCTAGTCAGGATAGTCACGTTCTCTTGAGCTGAGTTGTGTTGAAGTTTTGTACAATGGACACTGAGAGAGCCTATGATGCAAGGAGGGTACAACATTTAAGTATACCCTTTTTAGTCCATATCGATACTACAGCACATGAAGTTAGAATGTAGATGTTTAGTGATTTTAAATTTAGCTTGTTGCTACTATGAATAATCTACATCCTTGAAAAAACCATCTTTTGTTAACCTTCTCAAATGTCTGAGGTGATTATATTAAGCTGCTTGAATTTTAACCTACTGGTAGCTGTATTAAATCTTCATACAAGTCAGTATAATTTCTGAATTCATGCTTCAATTTAACCAATACTTTTCTAAAAGTTAACCAACATATTTCTTGTTGACCAATATCATCTAATATGATGAAATGTATCACATCTCATGACCTTGAAAATGTAATGTGACTAAGTTTGAAATAAAATTTCTATCAATAAAATCTACTGCTATGTATAATACTTAATAAGTATTAAATAAACTGATCTACAAAGAATTATACTTTCGTTATACGGATGCAGAAAATTAACAATTTATGCCAACCAAGTCATTATTTCCTATCCACATTATTGATCCAACATATAAAGATATAAATGAATATGCAAAAGATTATGATTATGATTTACGTGGTGTACCAATATCAAAATGGATATTGATCATAAATGATCCATTAATTTATTTAAAATATTATTTAGAAAATTACTCATTTCTGTCATATTTACTACCGGTGATATTAATTTTGATATTTTATATTTTAATGAATCTTGTTGAAAGTATCTACTGTTTATATTATAAAATGAAAATTACCAGAGAATGGAAAAAATTTACAGATAAACATTATCGTCCAGTATCAACTGAAAACAAGCCAGAAGATATCAATCTTAAACGATCGAAACAATCCCACAAACAGTGTAAAGAAGGTACTTCAAAGGTTACAGAAGGACAACAGAAAGAAGATTTAATAGACCCTGTTCTTACCTGCCTACCTTATCATATGAGAAAGTTACTAACAATTACAAGTGAAAACGATAAAGTATCGAATGAAACTAATACAGAATCAATTGATGAAAAAATCCAGCTTCAGGAAATTGAAAGCCAAGGTTGGATAAACGAATACATATCTAGAGTTCGTGTTGCAATGAAACAAGCTGCAAAGTATCAAAAAATAAAACCTTATCCTTGCGAAGAATGGAATTCTCTTGTGTGCTACAATGAAGACGATAAAGACCAAAATGAAGGTCAGAAGAATCCTAACAGTATAAAAGAGGTTGGTTCGTCCGAAATGAAAACACAACTAGTAGATATTGCTCACAAGAATGAGAAAAATAGTGAGAAGCAAAAACCGCTACTAGAATTTCAATTCAAAGGAACTGGTGAATCACATGGTAAATTATCTGGTACTAGGGAACAGAATTCGTTAGCACCGATTACACACAAAAAACGAAATAAACGTTACCAATCAAAACAACGCTTAATGAAATTTAATAAACCGTTGTATTTAGAAACTGAACAAGCGTTGTTTAAAGATAGTGGTCAAGTATCAAATCTACATAGTCCATCATATAGACAGAATAGTTATCATTATTACTCAAGACATCATAAAAGGTATAAACATTCTGAAAAAGAAATTTAAAAGAGCTGCAAATAATCAAACAAACATTTGTTGCATCAGACTTGAATGAAGACTAAAGAAACTGCTATAAGAAATCAATTTTTCCTTATAAATAAACAAAACATTGATGCAAGCAAAGAAGTAACGAATACTTGTCAGTTGATTCATTTGAAATATTACTATATTATTATAATAATAATACCAAGTAAAATTCTTACGGTTATTGGTGAAATTACTTTAATTTTACTGTATAAACTTTATGGGCCAAAATTTTTACCAGTGTTCATTAAGAGCGTCAACTTCATGAAGGTAATACAACATTTTAAGCAACCATCTCTTAATGCATACAATAATCCATTTTCCTATTTTATAAAATGAACACGGGTTTTCGCATACAAAATTTATTATTATAATTATTATCAAATCTTTTATTTTTATCAGGTCTTAAACTATAATGATTGATTCACTTAATGAACATAGCTAACAAAAATAGTTTGGGAAATAGTTACAGCAATTTTAAAATTTTTTAAAATAAGTGTATGCAATTTGTAATACTGCGGTGTATGCTACTTATATTGACAGATACAAGTAGTATGTAACGCCAATCAGAAGAGGCATGCCCGGAAGTAAAAGGTTGAGTTGAAGAAAACAGGAATGTAAACAGAGTAATTGTAATAACAACAGGAATAAAGAAACGATGAAATTTGTGAGAGATAAATGATAGATGTGCAAATAAAGTATTTAATAAATGGTTTCCATATTTTACGAAGACACTCTAGCATTAAGTAATAAATTGATCTTCTCCGCCTGAGTCCTCGTTCACTACAATACTATTCATAAACTTGACGTTATCAGCTGGAACAATTTCTACATTTTAGGTTCTTATACAACACAAAACAAACTTAAAATGAATGTGTTAGGGAGACTTCGACAAAATAAACTGAAAGTTGAATTTATTCAAATTTCATGCGACGAACGGGAACTTTGGGACAGAATTTTCGGACGACTATTTTAATATTCACTATCAAAGTTTTGACATCAGTAAAACGTAATGTCGATGACTTTACAATAATATACAAGTATTTTCGATACAAAACGCCAATTATTCAAGCTATGTAATCTTAATTACAAATAGTTTAAGGGTCTTATCATCATTCTCTACATGATTTAGGTGTTTGAACATGAATGCTAAGTAATAATAATAAAGAAACTAATGTTTTGATCACCGCAGCAAGACAACTATAACAATGAGAAAGATCTCTATTTGTAAAAGGTTGCTCAAAGTTTTACAGATACTCAAAATCTATTAATTTACAATGAGGGTTTTAATAAGTGTTAAAATGCCCAAGATGTTAACTCAAAATTTTAGATGCTACAATATTTCTTGAGTGAAAGTAGCAGTCATTATTGAGAATGCTCTGTCTTTGACACTTACTAATTCTTAATTTAATGAAGACTTCAAGTGCCTCATCATGCAGACAACTATGAATGACTATATGAAACATTAGACATTATAAGGTTTAAAATCGGTGCATGATTACAATGTCATTAAATGTCAAACAAATAAACTTCATACAAGTTACTTGAATCGACAGTGAGTCTATTCCAAAGATCACACACTGGAAATCAATAAATGAGAACAAATGCATTGATTTAAAGAGTGAACAAAATTATTTATTAACTCACATTATAATATAACAAGGTAATTCGATATGTTTTGCTTGTATGCAAGTGTGTTGGATTTCCTAAATGTAATATAAAGGTTAAATATAAAAAAATAATGAAGTTTAGAATAGAAATAAAATTTTACAGAAAAGTTCCTGTTCACTGTCGAATAAATTACTTTTTTGTAGAATTGAAATATAGAAAGAAAAGCAAGAAACAATCAAATAATATTTAGTTCAGCATTTGTCGAAGTATAAAAATCATTTAAACCAAATATTATAGTTAACTGTGCCAGCTTTGACCTAGCGCTTCTAACACTGCTACCGCCATCAGCAGTATCATGATCAAGTAATCGATTGACGCGACGTCTTAAAAATTGACTATAACTTCGAAAACTTGCATGAACCGCATACAACTGCCTCCATTCTGTATGCTCAATCTGTTCATTACTCAATAACTGTTGTTGAGTACCATCAATATCACTAAACTGATGATGTGGCGATTTAACAATCCATCTTCCTGTTAATAAAGCACGATGAAACTGATGTGCACATGTCAGCAAACCTTGGAAAAGTACATTTAATTCACTATCTGATACATCCAACAAAAGCCTAAAAGAAAATTAAAATATGAACAACATTATTACTATCCTACTTCATAAATATACATATGTGAACAAAGGTAGCCACATTTAAACACAGTATCAAAAGCATAGGCGGTAAAAATATAAGGTCGTAATGTTATTTTAACCAATGTTAAGATTAGCGAACGAAATACAGACTAATCAGCATAAACATTAGCGAACACTGAAATATGAACAGTTGGAGTACGACCCAGAGATTCACAAACCGGAATTTACATAATTTGACATTGTAGTAAATCTTATAAACAAATAACTAACTGATTTCAAGCCCACATTCTTTATACAGTGATGGCAAACAACATGTCCATAACATTAATGCTTTAAAGATTTAGATTTATATACATTCATGCTGATAACAGCCTATCATCAAGTCAGGAGAATATAAAATTAAGATTCAAACTAAAAATTCAGTTTCTGTTTAAAAAAGTTTCATACACATAGAGCTAGATAGTACACGCAACAATGATTGTAGAAAGTAGACTGAAACTAATATTATCTACTGTAGTTTTCGAGTTTATTTTTCTTTGTTCCCTATAACGTCCACGAACTATTCGTTCCTTTAGTATTTAAGTGTTTTTAAATTGAAAAAGTGGTAATATAGTCTGCAACTGATGTACATACGTACGAAGTTCTACGTTGTTACTGACTGACTAACTGACTGACTGACTGACTGACTGACTGACTGACTGACTGACTGACTGACTGACTGACTGACTGATAATAAACCAAATAATCAATTAAAATTCAATAAAAAAAGAAGTACTCGTTTATGAATTTTCACTTATAAACATAATCAATGTTAAATGAAACTTTCATTATTTTGAACCAGAACTGTAACGAATTTTACTTGAATATATATCAAATTCAAAAGATATTTCTACATAACTCATAATTCAATCTACATAAATAATAATGAAATAAAAAGAAAAGAAAAATTTACCCAGATAAAATTTCATTTAAATAATTTTCATGTGCATTGAACAACACATTCAAATTGTTAATTTGTTCACTTTTAATAAATTCTTCATTATCTATAATATGGTTATACATTTTAAATGAATTACCATTGGACATAAAATTATAAAATGTATTAGATAATCCTAAATATTTCATAAATTTAATCCAACATGCATTAACATGATTTGATAAATGCATATTTAAATTATAAATAACTTGATGTAATTCATGTAACCATAAATAGATACAATGAAATGATTTTGATAATTGATCATATAGAGCAATGAATGATGATGATGATGATGATGATGGTGATGATGATGATGATGATAATGATAAAGTCGAAGATGAAGAGATATTTCTTAAATTTAATAAATGATTTAAACAATAATTACGATCATTTTTTAATTGTATAATACATGAATTCAATGCCCATAAAGCAAATTGACATTGGATTAAACGTTGAAATATACAATTGTATTTTTGTATTATATTAACATGAAAACAAAGATTAATTGGCCATGGAACATGATACATTAAATGTAAATTCTTAAAAGATATATATTCATATTGGTCAATAATAGATGAACTATTATCAGCTATAGAATGATTTGATTCTATATTGAAATCGTTATTTAAAAAATCAACAGTTGATCGTTGTTTTGTTGTTGATATTGACGACAATGAGATTAAATCTAAGTAATTCTTAATCAAGTTTGTAGTGTTTAACAGTGGAGAATTAACAGTAATATCGTCATCTTTATCATTATTATTAAAATTTGATAATATTTGTTGATTTGACATTTCTGAACTGACTGATTTTAAAAGCTGTTGAAGATAATGTGTATCAAATATGCTGGCACGATCATAAACTGTTCCAGAAGCCTAGAAAAAATAACGAAAATCTATATTTGCATTCTACATAAGTAGTAGAATATAGAAAATATGTTTTCAACTGTTTGGGAATTCATCAATTGAACACAATCTACATACATCCCAATTAGCATACATGATTCCACTTTAACCTGATAAGAGATTATTTGTCGTTTTAAACATTAAAACGCTTTTTGCATTGTAATTCTAATCAAGAGTTCAACTTATTGTATTTACATGACCAATTAATTTCTGTCTAAAGCAAAATGTTGTCAAATATTAAAAATCAATTGATGTATACGGAATATCAAACTAAGAGAACTGGGAAAATTCTTATTCTAAATTCAGTGGTTAACATTGGCTCCTGAATTCAAACAAAATGTACGTTACAGGAATCTGTCCTAATAATTATAGTTAATGACAACTTAACTTCTAAATAGTTTTAATTCATTAAAAAAGGGCTTCTCTACAACTTAATCTGAATTCGACCAGACGGCAACCTACTATTTCATAAATACTGCTCAAAATTCAAATTAGAAAAAGTCATATTATCGATAACTAGTGTAAAAATATCAGTATGAAAAATCTTGATTCGAAATTATAAATACGCTCTACATTCGTTTCTATGAGATCATTGCCTAGATATGCTAATATTCAACCAAGCACCAAAACCAAAAATACATTAATGAACAAATTGAATTATTTCCGATTTTCCCGAACGTGATCCTCGTCAATACTAACATTTCCTGAGTTACAATAAATTTAATACCCTTACATTAATTTTAAGGAGAGCAAACACAACAGTATTTTCAATTGTCATACCTGGAATTAAGTGACCGAAATCGAAATACAGAACGAAGAGCTTAACAATAAGAAAACAGATATAGCTTAATAACTCGGTACAAATATATCCAAAGGACTGTGAATGAAAGGCCTTGCACAAGAGCCGGAAATTTTATCCGGCTTTTCAGACGGAACTTAATAAAGTATGCATGAATAATAAAACATTACATGCTTAATGAATAAATCATATATAAGCCAATTTCGTTTCGATTAAGTATATACTTTTCAAGCTGAGGATATTTTATTAAACAGATAGTTCCTCTTAAAAGTCTGATCGATATGGATATGTAATGATTATATACTAAAGAAACTATTTGAAGACGCATCGGAGAATAAATCATAAATCATTAGAATTTACGGACAATTTTTATTTTGAATAGCACCAAGAAATCCAGCAATAAAGAGTATTACAAAATGTAAATAGGGTATATCTCTCATCAAACGAATAAGCTTGCATGTTTAGAACGAAGGTATTCTGTACATGTCGACTGGCTTCTTTTCGAACTGAATATTTTTAGGATACCCTAGAAGTTTCTTATGCAACTTATTACATAAACAATTAAGTTTCTTACTTCTGTACAGTCGTTCCAGAATGTATCTTCAGAATATAATTTATGCCTAGATTATTCTTTTCTGTCTATAATTGATCAAATTACGATGAAATATACTACAAGTCAAAGACAATAGAGGCCAAGAAGAATATAATACTTAAGGAGTTCAATTAAAACCTAAGACCAGGGACAACAACAATCTAGTTACTTTTTTCTAAATATTGCATAAATATACATAATGAGATAATACCAACTTTAAACAATCATTTTTAATAGTTTACTTGGTTTAAAATTTCATAAAACAAATAATGACTGCTAACCTTATGAAATAAAGCATTCAATAATGGTTGAGCAAAACTTCCATTATTTAGAAAATAAGTTTCATACAAACAATAGAAGTGATCACATAGACGAAGATCAAATATGAAATAATTGCACAGTGTTTTATTAACATGTTTCATGCTGTAAAATAGGTAGAAAAATGAAAATTTATTCAAAGAAAGTGATAATTATCAGTATAAGGTTGTAAAGATTGTTGGATTTCAAATAAAATCATGAGTCGGCTAATGTTGGGTTCGAGTCCTGCGTACGAGATCGTGGATGTGCACTGCTGAGTCCCATACTAGGATTAAATGGCCGTCCAGATCTTCCAGGTTTTCAATGGTGGTCTAACATTGATCGGTTCATGATTACAATTGAAAGTGATAATTAATTGAAAAACATCAAATTTGATGTATTATTTGTTTTCTTATCATCTAAATAGTGCCTAACAAACATATCAAATTCACAGAATCATTAACTCAAACTTTCAAAATAAATTATGTACTATTTCCCATTGCACCGATTTCTGTATTGCTGGTTTTAAGAAACTAGATATTTAAATCATCTTAAGCGAAGATGTTAATTTATAGTTTACGACCAGGCAATAGAGATACACTCTGTTCAGAAAGGTAGAAAATGTTCATTGGGATCACATTTAAGGTATTGATGATTTGTTTGGTTTATAAAAATCTCTTCCAATGTCACTCAGATCCATTATCTAAGGTTTAAGTTAACTCCATATCAAAACGTTAAATTGCAAAAACCAACTACAACTCGTCTTAAAAGTGGAAAATTCGAAAAAGCCATAAAAGTATATATATATATATATATATATATATATATATATATATATATATATATATATATATATATATATATATATATATATAACACATCCACTGGTAATTTATAAACTATCTTAAAAATGAAAAAAGCGAAATTTTCAAAACAAAGTAACACTTTTGAAAATGAAAGAAACGAATCAAATAAAACCTACTGAATACTGAGAGGCCAAATCAAAGAACGGTTGATTAGTACACTTAAGGGCACTGGTAGTGAACCATTTGGATTTTTAAACAATTTGTCAAGTTCATTTGAAGACTGTACAGATGAATCATAGTTACTGAATATTGACGACACAGAAAGGCAATTTTGATCTATGGTAACGACAGAAAAATTAGTCAAAAGAAACTATTTTTTAACTACCAGAATAAGTAATCAGTTGAAAATACGGAAACTAAAATTGTTGGCATGTATCATCAATTCGAAAATTAAGACTAACATCCTAGATGCTCTGACTTTCTGGTGACTTCCGAGTTGTCAGATCTATCAAGGCCGATGAGATATTACATGATGATATCATTGCGGACTAGGTTTAGTGCAAGCTCCATCTCATGAATATGTGGTCTGCTTATTTCTAAAGTAGAGCAGTGGCTCATAGGTTCAAGCAATTGTCACTTGACGAGTAAGAATCAGCCCCAGCAACCACGTCTTAAATAATTAGTGAGCAAGTAACCTAAAAAACCTGTAATTTCCAATTATATATAGTTTTGTCCTAATATTTTGTGCATAAACGTGTTGCTATTAAAAAAAACCTATTTCGCTGAGCAGATGTTTTGTCTTTTGACATCTGTTCATATGGGGGCTTGTGTCAATGATCAGGTTTTGCGAGCAGTCTGGCTGAAGGCCAGTTGAATTGATCCCTAAAGTATTCTGCCCATCGATCCAATCTCCTGGATTGAGAATGTATAATATGTCCATCTTTCTCTAAAAGTGTTTCGCTAACAGACGGTTTCCTAATACCGGTTTCCTTAACAAGTCTGAACAATTGTCTGCTATTACATATTGCCGCTGCCTTTTCCATCTCTCTTGCTTTCGCTACCCACCACTGTTCACGATCATTGCGTAGGCTTCTTGTCAGCTTGGACTTAAGCTGACTCCGCTCTTCATTATGTTCAGGTCCACATGGAATGAGTTTTCGAGCATCTATCAATACGATAGATGCTGCTGAGATCTAGTGTTGCTCCACAACCTTGTGGTTTACCGTACTAGCAGATATCACTGCTGTTTCCACAGCTTTTCGGATATCATTCCATGCTGCCTCGAGGTAGGCATCACATACATGACTGCCTAACTGTTTTTCTAGTTGTTCCTCAAATATACTCTTAGCTTGACTATCATTAAGTAGGCCCCTAAGAGGTTTCCTTACAGCGTCTTTCTTACGTCCAGTAAGACGCAGACAAATACGCGCTCGTACTAGAGCGTGATCTGAATCTAAGCATGTGCTCCAGAATGAGCGAC